AGTAGCTGTTAATCTTCCCATTTATTTCTTCTTGTGTTATTTAATGGGACTCTGAGACTGAGGGATTCAGTTTGTATGAAAAATCTGTCACAAAAGAAAGTTAGCTTACAGTGCCTGGGCACTGGTATTTGCCAAGCATGGGGTTTCCAGCCTCTCTTCATATTATTATATACTATAGGGATGAGTCATGCCTGGAAAATGTAGGGATTGTGAATTGCAACTGTCCTCTGCTGAAAAATCCGGCTTAAGAATTGGCTCACATGCTCTAGTTCACCAAAGGGCAAACATCCTATTAACGTGCCAACATCTTATTTCTCTTGTCATAGTCAGGCAGCATGACTTCCTCAGACTGGGGACCAGAGCTTAGAGATGCTAGAGATTCTCTGTGAGAGCAGCAAAGGGTGCAGTAAAAAAGGGAAGAAAAATCTTTCTATTAAGTAACACGGGGCTGAGTACGCTGGCTTATACCTGTAATCCCAGCACTTTGGGAGGCCCAGGGAAGCGGGGAGGATCACTTGAGCCCAGGAGTTTGAGACCACCTTTGGCAACACAGAAAGACCTCATCACTACAAAAAGTAAAAAATATTAGTCAGGCGTAGTGGCATGCATCTGTAGTCCCAGCTACTCAGGAGGCTGAGGTGGGAGGATTACTTGAATCCAGGAGACTGAGGCTGCAGTAAGCCATAATCACACCAGTGCATTCCAGCCTGGGCAACAGAGTGAGATTCTGTCTCTTTAAAAAAAAAAAATAACATGGAATGAAGAAGATAGGGAAACCACCCATTGTTCCCTCCTGCAACTCTAAAACAATTCTTATACCCTGAGGGGACTGAGAGAGTCAGAAGAGATCGTGGGTCACCAATAATCCCTACATTTGTGCTCAGAACCTACTTGCGATGGGGTAGGGGGGCTGAATTCATTCAAGGCTTTTGCGTGGGGGCAGTTAGTTCCAGCCCCTATTTAGTGGCACTTTGCCAACATAATGTCCCCAAGCCAGCATGGTTAGACCATAGAATTAGCCTGACATGAGAAATCTGGGGTAAAATGGGAGTCCAGATGGTGGGTCCTGGTTGCTGACAGCTATTAGAAAGCTGAGGCTTAGAGCCGAGGCAGGAAGCCATACCTGAATTTCACCCTGAGTCAACTCCCTCCAGCCTGTGTCTGTCTTCCCAGAACTGCTGGTCTTCCCACAGTTGGGCCACACGAGTCCTTCCTGTTACTAGAAGGAATGGAAGCACATGTGTGGAAGGGGTCCGGGTTACTGGAAGGGCATTTCCTAAAGTAGGGGTGGCATGGAAGTGACCCCTATGGGCATCTGTGAGGCCTTCCTTTGATGTCTGTTTTTGAAACCCTGCTTATGAAGTTATTTGTTTACATACAAGAACATTTTTCTTATTCCCCTTCCTTAAGCAGTTATGAACATATAATATCTAATAATTCAATACTCTCCATCAATACAAATAAGAGCTCCAACCCTAAGAAAGGGGTAGGTTCTGGGTTACATCCCCTATACCAAATAATCCTCTAATGATTAGTATTACAATAACATTAAACAGATGTTGAAATTTAAACAAAATATGGGCTGGTATTCCGACTTTTCATTTGATTTAGAAGGACTGATTTACTGCTGGGAAAACCTCTTTTCAGAAGAAAGCTTGTGTGAGTTTTATTAGTTCCCTTGCAATATGGCCACAAGGAAGATGGGATCATCGGTACTGCCAGTCCATCATGCATAACTTAGGTATGTTTAAACCCAAAAGCACATTTGTCACACGGGTTGTCAGAACTCTACTGTACAGAGTTAAGTGAGCTCTATATTAGAAGCTTTGGAAGGCCACAGCATCCTCATCCCACTCATCCCCAACCCAACTCCGTTTTCCCTGTTGAAAATAGACCTAAACTCAGGTTACAAACCAGAACCAGAAACAAGGTCAACTTCAGAATAAGAAAGATGAAGTGCTATGTTCTCCCTAAGTCAGTGGTTCTTTGACTTGAGCGTGCATAGAATCACTTGGCAATTTCTTTTTAACCTGTAGGGTTTTGGAGATCTTATCTTAGAGATTCTGGATCTCACGGTTTCTGGACACTGTCTAAGCCAGTGGTTTTCAAATCTAGTTGCTACTAGAATCTGCTTTTTAAAAAGAGATGCTCAGGTTGCACCTAATTTAATCAGAATATCTGGGGAGTCAGGGCCAGGCTTTGGTGGCTTTTAAAAGCTCCGTGAGTTGTCTTAATATGAAGCTGGAGTTATGAGTCCCTGGTATAAGCAAAGAAGCCTCCCATATAGATGTGGCTGAAGGGTCTTTGGAAGTCTTTTGCATGAGGCGGCTAGCTTGACATGCTTATCTTCAGACAGTTGAGGTATCCTGCCCCAACACATCCAACTGGCCATATTAAAAATTCATGGCTTACAACATGGGTAAGGATTAGAATGCTTGAGAAACCCTTGGATTCACAGGCTAAAATCTGTGCAGATGTGCATATGCCCACCTTTCTAGGGAGACAGTCCTTAGCTTCACTGGATTCACTTTATTTTCTTCCCCATCCCCTTGTTTTATTCATTTCCTCATTCGTCCCTTTCTGTCCCCATGCCCTGTTCCCATTCTTGTGGGCAAAGTATGCTAAAGTATATCGGGGACTCATAAAGTATCCCTTTTTGATAAAGTATATCTCTTTGTTTGCATGCTTTTCTTTGCTTTCTGTGGATCAATTTGTAATTCATCTGAACGACGTGTTGCTACTCAGTGCTGTGCTTTTAAGATCTATGTTAATTGGTACACACACACCTAATCCATTACTCCCACCTGCTGCATCCTGCTTCATGAAGCAGCCCCATTATTCTATGTGTCTGCTCATTTCCAACTCCCCTTGGCCATGAACAGCCAAGGCTGCTCACAGCCGCCTCATGTATGTCACCTTACAAACCTGCATGAGAACTTCTAGGGAAATATACCTAGAAGAGAAATTGCTGGGTCACAGCGGGAAGCATGTAGTTCTTTTGACTAGGAAGGGCTGGGCTGCTCTCTATATACAGAGCCAAATACTTCCATTCCCTTCCCTGGATTCCTGAATGAGCTGAGATCTGCACCCTGCTAAAGCGTAAACGCCATGATGACAGTCTAGGCGGGGCCCTCGACTCTCATTGCTGTTTGCTTTTCTTTTTGCCTTTCTTTTTCCTTCTTCCCGGTTGACCTTCTTTCCCATCCCCTGTGGCTGCTGTATTAAACCTTCAACACGACCCTCCAGTCTCTTATTCTACCTCAACTTCTTTTTCACAGAGAAAACTGACAACATCTTTAATTTTCTCCCTCCTCTTCTCAATGTGCCAGTGTCGGCCCCATCTCGATTTGTTTTTTCATTCTCGCTCCCTTCCGGGGCTAACCTCCCTAGCTTTTATTTCCTACCTTCCTGTCTTCCAGGGCCCTTGCTGCATCGGCTTTTCCCATTGTTTCTCTACCTCTCTCTTTACTGTTGGCTTATTCTGCGGCCTGTAATCTTAGCCAATTCTTTCCCATCCTGAAACCAACTTCCCTTCTACTTAAGCTACCTCTCTTTGTTCTTTTTAAAAATGTTTTTCAGCCAGATGCGGTGGCTCACACCTATAATCCCAGTATTTTGGGAGGCCGACGCAGATGGATCACGAGGTCAGGAGACCATCCTGAATAACACGGTGAAACCTCATCTCTACTAAAAATACAAAAAGTTAGCCAGGTGTGGTGGTGTGCACCTGTAGTCCCATCTACTTAGGAAGCTGAGGCAGGAGAATCACTTCAACATGGGAGGTGGAGGTAGCAGTGAGCCAAGATCATATGACTGCACTCCAGCCTGGCCACAGAGTGAGACTCCGTCTCAGAAAAAAAAATTATATTTTTCATCCATCGCCAATTTTTTGAATGCAGTGACATTTCTTCTCACTCAGTCCTCCATGCCCCACAGTCCAGCCGATGGCCTTCTAGTTGCCAAACCTCTGTGCACTTCCCGGCTCCCTCCTCCTTATTTCTCTGTTGCATCTGACACTACTGACAGTCTGCTGCTTCTTGGAGCTGGCTCTCCTCTTGACTTGGCTCTCAGGACATTATTTTCTCCTGGTTCTCCCCATCTTCTTTCTACTTCTTCTCAGTCTCCATCATGGCCTCCTCTCCCTTTCCCTTTCCTTTCGTCCTTTCCCTTATGGCCCTCCTCTTTCTGCCTTTCCACTGCTACATGTCCTCCTGAGAGCTCATCTACTTCTTAGGCATCCTGAGTGGTCATATGACTCTGAAACCTGGATCTCATTTTAATTCAACAAATAATTCTTGAAAACTTACTATGTGCTAGGATCCAGAGTCCCATGTGACATATGAGAGTTCACTCTTTCTTCCGAGCTCTAGACCGCTACATCTGACAGAGTTTCTGTTTGGTAAAGATTAAGGATATGTGTATACCTCACAGACTAGCTAAAATAAATGATATACCTCTAAGTAAGTTTCTTCTGAAGGGGTCCAGAACACAGCCCTGTCTGACAAAATGTCAGCAGATAATCCTGCCTGCTCTGATTTTGGCCTGGAGAAGGCACCAAAGGCCTCTGGGGTACAAGATATACACATATTTTCTTTGACTAAGAAGTACAGGACTGCTCTCCAGAACAGCTGGAGTGCCTGCAGTTCTAAGAATATAATTTGGCCCATAGATTTTTTCCCCCTCCTTTGGAACAGTAAGACACGGATGGAGTACAGGCTGATGAGAATGAATGTATGATGTGAGAACTGTAGATCACGTCGATACTGTCAGTAGCAGACCCTGCCCTAAAGTTGCTTACCTGAATAGTACTGCGATGATGAGGCTCACACATGAAGGAGAACTGTGCCAGGCTGGACATAATTAAATGTGAAACTGAATAAACATTATGCTTTTCTTATAAAAGTTAGGCTGGGCAGATTAGGAAGGATGGAGTAGCAGATCTCCTCCAGGCTGGCCTGGCTGAGCCTCGGAGGGCCAGTTGCTCTCTGAGACAGCCTTACCTCTGTTTCAGAATCTGCTTGTTGTCATCGATGGTAACGCTGTCAGCGTGGTCCCTCTTGAAGATTTCAAAGGCCTCCTGGCGTCCTAATGACATTTCCTCTCTCATTCCTGTTTGGAGACACAGGGAAATGGCCTCAGTTACAGCATCAGGATCCTATTAATTTCATTGTCACTTTAGTCAGACCACAAAACCAGCCCTGGCTCCAAGAAGCCCACAGCAGAGAGGCTCTGACCAGACAGGTGGCCCCAGGCTCTTCCAGCTGGCCACCAACCAGCCGAGGAGGCCCTTCCAGCGCCACCCGCTGCACCCTGCCAGGACTGTGCCTGCACAGCCATGTGACTTGTTGGGGGTGGGGTTTGGAACATCTGCTCAGAGGAAATCAAAACCAGAGCGCCAAGCCCTGGATTGCCATCGTTCAGTGCCGCATTTCTTCCTGTTATGCCCTATTTTGTTATTCTGTTAAATTTCCAGGCATTTAGTTAAAAGAATTATAATCTAAACTGAAAGATGGCATCTAGAAAATTCTGCTTTTAGTCTCTGTTTAACAATTCATTCTTGTTTCCTGTGGTTAGTGAGGGGTCTCGGCTCTTCTTCAGGAGTTAGGTTCTCAATCACAAGACCCATGAGCTGACCATAGCAGGGGTCCCTAGGTCATATCTAACTTCAATATCCTGTATCGCCTTTGCCAGTAAAGGCCAACCTTCCCTGCTGGGCCCTGCTACTGGTTCAACTTCTGAAACCCAGGGTCAGTCCAGCCAGGAACAGGCTCTCCTCCTCACCACCTCCTGCAGTGAGGGTCCGTGCAGATGTGTGCCTGGAACCCCTCAGTGAGAGCTGAATTTGCAGCTGGATTTTGGATGCATCTACAGAGCCATTTTTTTTTTTTTTTCATGCTTCTGCCCTTGGTTCCTTTGCCTGGGAGGCCTTTTCCCATGTTTTCATCCAGTAGCTCTACCTCCGTGGAGCTTTCGTCAAAGCCCAGGCAGAACACGCTTTCCACCGTGTTCCTTATCAATACACCTGTAACTCACACAGCCCAGTGGACACTGCTACTTCACGTGACAATCCTTTCTGGTGAAATGTAAGTGTCTCAGGCGGTAAAGGTAATAGTTCTTTTTCCTTTTGGTGAATCCTAGTGTCTTGTTCAACATCTGGCATTTAGAAGGTGCTCAAAATACATCTGTTAAACGAATCAGGTTGAGAATGAAGCTAGGTGGTGCTAAGCCTTGCTCTTATTACTGTGGGAACACAGTCCAGGGCTAGTGAGGCTCACTGAGGCTGAGGGTTCTACAGAGGCTTTCAAACGGGCCACTTACCACATCTCTTGCCTGGAAAAAACTCTCTGAGTCCCATCACCCATCCTAAGGGTGAGTAACCGGACTAGCCCAGCTGACACCAATTTAACGATTACTGTTGATAAAAATAGCACCGTGAAGAATGTCTAAATGGTGAGGCACACAAAGACACCCCACCCTTTTCCGATCAGAAGCAAATGGGCACGACTCAGCTTTGTCTCCACATCTGCCTTGCACGCTCTAGAATTGGGTAGGCCTGGGAATCCGCTTGTGTGAGACGTGGAAAGATGATCCCTGATGCATGAGAGACATTGAGGGGCACATTTCACCAGCAGAGCCCCCCAAGAGCCAGCGAATTCATTCCACACTTCTCCCCTGTCCGGTTCTGCACCCAGTTCTAACAGTGCATGCCTTTTGCTACATAATAAAATTATAACAGACAGTAGAGGACATGAGACTTTGGACTGGAGTTAGGGAAGAGGAAAGCTCCATAGAGACCACACTGGAGCCTGTCTGGAGGATCCCTAAATTGTCTCCCACAGGGGAGCTGATGAGCAGGCTTCTACCAACAGAGAAGGTGTTGGGGAGTGGGGGATGAAAAAGTTGTGGGGGTGGGGAGTGAAAGGTTGCTCAAAAAGCTGCAGGGAAGAAGAGTTCACAGGCCCTTCCCTCCCAGGCTCTGCTTTCTTTGCAGAGTTGACAGTGTGAACTGACAGCTGGGTGGATAGAGCCATGCCAGAGCCCATGGCAATGTGACAGCAGTCGCTCCTGGGAGAACGTACAATGCACTGAGCAGCCCACCGGGAATAACTATACTCCCAACAACCAACAACACAAAAGTAAATGACAACGTGAAAACACAAAACAACATGAATCACGCCTTCCCTGAGGTGCACTGGGGCCTGGGCGTGGGGAGCAGAAAGGACGTGGGGAGCACAGAGGGGACAAGTGCAGGCAGTTTGGGATCATTGTGTACAGAGTCTTGAAGGTCCTACTGAGAAATCTGGGGCCAGCAGCATAACATACTTTACATGCATTGCCAACTTTCAGAGACTTAAAATGGAATAAAGTACACATTATGGGAAAGTTACACTGGAAGGATTTAATACTCTTGTTGACTTAAAAGGCACTTAGGGGTCCTGCAGTGCCAAGGGCTTATCATCAGGAAGATAACATTGGTTTTCCTTCTATCACCGACAAGGTATTCTGGAGTTGGAGTTCTTTGATTGCGGGGACCACCGGTGAAGGACATTATAATGATGGCTATAGTCTTATCAGCTGGTTTCCTAAGTGTCCACTCAAGGAGGCCAAGGTGAGGTGGCTGAAGCATAGCCAGAAGGCAAAGAGGTGAGGCAAGGCTGGGATGCCTGCAGAGACTTCATGGCCACCACTTGGAGCAAGGCTGAGGTCCACAGAGGGAGGGTCGTGGGAAAGACTCACAGACAGCTCCAGTGTGTGAGCTGAGGTCCCAGCCTGGCCTTACCCTTGTCCATCCCCATTCTGCATGTTTGGAGCCCACATGCAGCTCCTTTGGATTGCACTAATATACTATTTAGCACCGCAATTTGGGATCAGCTGCAAAGTTAATAAATAGCTTTTTATTTATTGAAGAAATCACTTCCTTTTCCCTTTGAGGATGTAGAAACAGGCTCTTTCTCCTATGGCAAGTTCCTGCCTCTCAGCATGCACTGTATGCATTTGAAAGAGAAAGAGCAAAGGAGCAAAAAGAGTGATTAAAAGCTCACCTTGCTAATGAGACAATTATCTATTTAGTTATTCTCTCAAGAAGTATTTATTTATATTAGTCATTGTGCTAGGCATGTGACAGAGATGTAAAGTTGAACATCAAAGCTTCCATCCTTGTGTTTAAAGAATTCAAAGTCCAGTAAGGGAGAAAGAAAAGTGAACAAATATTTACAGTGGAGGTTGCTGCTTGCTGTAGAGAAGGATGTGTCCAGCGCGGGGGACAGGGAGGGAGGGACGGAGGGAGAGAGGGAGGCAGGAACTCTCTGGGAGAGTGGGAGAAGCCTGAAAGCTGGAGGGAGCAAGTGAACTTCATCTGGAAGGATCCTGAAGGGTGGAGCAGCATTTCCCAGGTGGAGAAGACACGAAAGAAGATCCCAGGTGGAGGGGGCAGAGATGGAGTGCCAATTAAAAAGCCAACTTGATTAATACGGGTGGCTCTGCCATCCCATAGAAATGATCTCTAGTTGATTAAAAAATGAATTTCTTACATACACTATACCAAGCATAGTATCATGTACTTTCTTACACATTATTTCAGTCAAACTTCTCTATGATCTCTGTTAATTTCATTTTACAGATGAGGAAACTGAGGCGTAGATAAATAAGTGATTATAAAGGGGTGAAAACTACCCAGCTGTTAGAGGCAGTCAGATCGCTCTTAGCTCAGTTTTCCCATGGAAAGTAGGCCTGACAGAGAGGGCAAGGTGGTGGGGCTCAAAATGACCTGGTAATATTAATAGAAGATTTACCCATGAGATCATACTCTTATTAGTGCCTATCTAAAATGTTGGTTTATTTTTACAGTATCACAGAAAAACAGAAACACATATTTTTTTTTTACCACTTGCATAGTTTACTTCATCTGTTAATATGTTTTATTATTATTTCTAGAATTTATAAGCTCCATGAGGGCAGGTATTTAAATTGTTTTTTTAATTTCAATAGCTTTAGGGGTACAAGTGTTGTTTTGATTACATGGATGAATTGTATAGTGGTGACGTCTAGGATTTTAATGCACCCATCACCTGAATCGTGTACATTGTACCCAATACCCAATAAGTAGTTTTTCATCCCTCACCCCCCTCCCAACCTTCCCTATTCTGAGTCTCCAATATCTATTACACACCATTCTGTACACATTTGCATACCCATAGCTTAGCTCCCACTTATAAGTGAGAATATGTGGTATTTGTTTTTCTGTTCTTGAGTTACTTTACTTAGGATAATGGCCTCCAGCTCCGTCCAAGTTGCTGCATAAGATATTATTTTGTTCTTCTTTGTGGCTGAGTAGTAATCCATGGTATATATATACACCACATTTTCTTTATCATGGATACTTGAGTTGATTTAGTATCTTTTCGATTGTTGTGCTGTGACAAACATATGCATGCACGTGTATTTTTTACATAATGACTTGTTTTCCTTTGAGGAGATACTCAGCAGTGGGATTGCTGGATGAAGAGGCAGATTTACTTTTAGTTCTTTGAGAAATTTCTGTATAGTTTTCCGTAGAAATTGTATTAATTTACAGTCTGACCAGCAGAGTATAAGCATTCCCTTTTTACCACATCTGTGCCGACATCTATCGTTTTTTGACTTTTTATTAATGAGCATTCTGGCTGGGTAAGATGATATTTCCTTGTGGTTTTAATTTGCATTTCCCTGATGATTAATGATGTGGAGTGTTTTTGCATGTTTGTTGGCTATTTTTGCATGTTTTTTTGAGAGCTGTCTGTTCATGTCATTTGCCCACTTTTTAATAGGATGATTTGCTTTTTTCTTGCAGACTGGTTTGAGTTCTTTGCAGATTCTGGATATCGCTCCTTTGTCAGATGCATAGTTTGCAAATATTTTCTTTCATTCTGTATGTTGTCTGTTTTCTCTGTTGATAACTTATTTTTCTGTGCAGAAGCTTTTTAGGCCCCATTTATTTATTTTTGTTTTTGTTGCATTTGCTTTTAGGGTATTAGTCATAAATTCTTTGCCTAGCCCAATGTTCAGAAGAGTTTTCCTATTTTTTTTTCTAGAATTTTTATGGTTTCAAGTCTTGGATATAAGTCTTTAAT